GCCAGTGACATGCCGAACAGCCACCAAGTAGGATATTTTTATAGATCAATCTGACATAGCTATTTTACTGTGGTTGTTTTTAGTCCAAAGCACATTTTAATTTGAGGGTTTAAACTTAGTTTACGTATTAGTACTTGTTCATAAAAATATGAAAACATGCAATTTTTTTCCAATTGTAATGATTTTCTTGTTATGTAAATCTTTTTTTGTTAGTTTTTTTGTTTGTTTTGAGATAGAGTCTCACTCTGTTGCCAGGCTGGAGTGCAGTGATGCCATCTTGGCTCACTGCAACCTCTGCCTCCCGAGTTCAAGTGATTCTCCTGCCTCAGCCTCCCTCCCAGTAGCCGGGATTACAGGCATGCACCACCACACAGCTAATTTTTTGTACTTTTAGTAGAGAGGGGTTTTCACCAGGTTGGCCAGGATGGTCTCCAACTCTTGACCTCATGATCTGCCTGCCTAGGCCTCCCAAAGGGCTGGAATTACAGGCGTGACCCACCATGCCCAGCCTTGTTATGTAAATCTTTAGAAGGAGAAATTAAATTTAAAATTGAGGACTTGGTTTTCTTTCACTTTTTAGCACATCTTTGTACTGGGATGGCTTACTTGAGTGTCTTCTCTTAGATGTGTAAATAAAAAGAGAGAGGGGGAGAGAGAGAGAGAGAGATACTACAAGGTCTAACAGGATATAACCTGGAAAAGATCTTTTCTCCTTATTGTCTTTGATATGCAGAAATGGTGTCTGGGGAGGTGCTGAGCCAACTGCTTAGGATTCAAGGGGATTTTTCTGAGCAGAGGAGCGGAGATACACTATTCTTCCAGGAAATCACCCCAGAGGAAATTTGCTGCTATAAAGGCCTACTAAGAGCGCCCCCTCTCCCAAAAAACAAACAAACAAAAAAACTCATCGTGACGTAAGTGATAAATAAGAGTCCTGTCTACACGTGTATACCTATATAACAAGCCTGCACATCCTGCACCTGTATCCCAGAACTTACCAAAAAAAACCTATGTTTTTTTTTTTTTAAAAAAGCCCTGTCTAGGTCATTCTAGGACTCTCATGATGTCTGTAATTTACTTTTCTAAACACTTCAAAATAAACAATGTGATAGGTGCACGCACTGGTTTAAGTTAAACACCAGGTGCAGCTAGCATTCTAGGTCATCACCTAAGTGGCCCACTTTGGTCTGTAATCTGAAAGTTGACACAGCATTACTTCCGTTATCTGTACTTCTATCAGTGTCATAGGCCTTACTAATCAGCCCTTACGAATTGACTCTTGATTGAGAATACTAACGGTGTTCTTTAAGATATAAGGATTAGCTAAAATATTTTAAAGATACTATTCACTCATGCATAATTAATGTCTAAGAATTTAGTTCTCTTAGGGATGGGGCCCAAAGCTTTCATCCTAAATAGTCTGATATCCAGCTATTGTGATTGGATTTCTAGTTGTCTGATGCTCACTGATGAGGGGAACTGGATCCCACCTCTGGCACGCTGGCACCTGCCTCTAAGGAATTTCATGCATGGTGGTGGGTAGAGAACCTCAAAGGAGACACAGCTGTGAGTAGGAGGGAGTGAGAGAAGGGAGAGAGTTGAGATCAGTGTTCTGTGTAGTAGATAATCCGCAATTATCCAGGAGGGTTTCAGTGCAGCAGTGATGATCACGACTGATCACAGACTTGAACCTGGGTTAGGAAGGGGAAACGCCCTCAGGTGACTTGGGTAAGTAAAAAGGTGGTAGGATCCGTGGATGACAGGTTCCAATGTGGTCAAATGATTATTAAGAGTTGAGGATATGAGAAGAAATTAGTTAAAAAATGAGTAGCACTACCTAGAGTGTTGAAAGCTGTAAACTGAGAATGTGAAGTGTAAAATTATTCATAGGCCAAGATTTCGACTATGACCGTGAGAATGGGTGGTGAAGGTCAGATATTCAATGGATCGTCTATGTAAGAGTGTTGAAATCATCAATAATTATGATAGAATCAGGATTGGCAAGAGTAATAGTAAATCAGGAACTAAAATCTTCAAGGAATGCAGAAGAGTCATCTGGAGGATGATAATTGACTCTTTCTATAAAATGCAACTCCCAAGTCTGTGTGATTTTGTTCATTTATCTGTGTAAGTGATATTCTTGTATCATAGAAACCCATAAATGCCTGTCTTTTTTATCATATAAAACTAGCCTAGCTTAGCACACGTAGATTATAAGCTTAACATACAACGCAAATAAAGTTTCATGAATTTTGTTTCCCAAAAAAATACTGTTACATACTTGGAGAAATAATAGTAATATCATGATAGGGTTTAAGAAAGGAAAGAACACAGGTAATTTCTTTGCTATTTGGGTTTTTAACAGTTCTTTTGAAAAATTCTGCTTCAAACTATTCATTCTACATAAAAACTATATTAACTTTAAAAATATACTGAAGACAGATAAGCCTAATAGTTAAGGTATCTAAAGTTATTAATTCATCCATCCATCCATCCATCCATCCATCCATCCATTCATTCATTCACCAAGTGGTAATCATATCTTCAGCTAGGCACTCAGAGAAGCTTAGCCTTTGCACAGTTAGCTGTCATGTGTGTATCTGTCCATAATTACTCTGGTGAGTAGTTTTAAAGGACTAATTACAGCCTTCAAACCTCTCAGTAAGATGGGGATTTATTATTATCTTTGAAGAAAAATAATTCATCCAGAGAATATATAATAAAAGTAAGTGTCACCATAATAGAAATAAAACTCATGGTAAATTGAAAGTTTATTTATTTATTTATTTATTTGAGACGGAGTTTCGCTCTTGTTACCCAGGCTGGAGTGCAATGGCGCGATCTCGGCTCACCGCAACCTCCGCCTCCTGGGTTCAGGCAATTCTCCTGCCTCAGCCTCCTGAGTAGCTGGGATTACAGGCACGCGCCACCATGCCCAGCTAATTTTTTGAATTTTTAGTAGAGACGGGGTTTCACCATGTTGATCAGGTTGGTCTCGATCTCTCGACCTTGTGATCCACCCGCCTCGGCCTCCCAAAGTGCTGGGATTACAGGCTTGAGCCACCGCGCCCGGCCCAAATTGAAAGTTTAAATAGCATGTTTAATTAAAAAGACCTAGGATCCTCTCCTTTTATGTAATCAGCTTTTGCCAAGCATGAAATAAAAAAAAAAAAAAAAGCATGGAATCACATGATTTTTACCCTATTCACTCGCTATAAATGTCATCCTTGAATTAATAGTCTACCCTGTAATTTCCTTTTATATTCTCTAGAGAAAAAAAAAATTCCTTATGTATTTGTAATATTTTAAACAAGTTCTATATACTGTCTTTTGAAAATGTACTGTTTAATACAGCTCACTAGTTACCTAGTTAAGTACATTCTAAGTGAACTGCCGCATTATAATAACTTTAAAGTGTTTATTTCTTCTTCTGGAACAAGAGGTTCTTATGCAAATGCAGGATACACTTTCCAGGTGCTAAGACAGGTTCTTTAAATAACCAGTCTCTAATCTTTACATTAACACTGCAAGGTGGGTTGTTTTCTGCAGCATTTTATAGATGAGAAAAACTGAATCCTAATGAGGTTAGGAAGGCCACAAAAGTGTCTGCTGGAGCCTCTAGGGCAGGCGTCCCCAAACTACGGCCCTCCGGCCGCACGCGGCCCCCTGAGGCCATTTAACCGGCCCCCCGTCGCACTTCAGGAAGGGGCACCTCTTTCACTGGTGGTCAGTGAGAGGAGCACAGTATGTGGCGGCCCTCCGACGGTCTGAGGGACAGTGAACTGGCGCCCTGTGTAAAAAGTCTGGGGACGCCTGCTGTAGGGTAAAGGCTACGCCAGACAAAGTTTGCTGCTGTACAGTCCAACGTCTACGGCTTTTGCACTCTGCCACATGAAAGTGGTAATTATACTGCTAGTTACATTAATAGCTAGTATTTATTAAGAAATTAAAAACGACTAGGCATGTGCTAAGCAAGGCATTTTGTATTTCTAAATCTTTAATAATATTGTGATTACGACACTGAGATGCAGAGAAGAAAAATAATTTACCTAAGGAATTTACCAAAGTAATTCACCAAAAATAGGCAACTTGACTGGGGCACACATCTAGGGTCTCCCCTTTGAATTTTGAACTCAAACTAGAAAGAAAAATAATTAACCTCAAGATATGCTTTGCTACAATATGAAAGTATGAAAGTGGAGTGAACATGGACGATGAGACAATTGAGGTGGTTTCATTTACCTCTGTAATTCGGTAACATAGATACTTTCTTTAGGCTTCTGCAAAACTCATACAACTGAAACAAAAAGATCTTTTTGATATTTAAATATTCAGACGAATTTAGAATCCTTCCAAGCAACACAGATGTCTTCACTGACAGATGAGACTGACCTCACTTACAGCATGCACCTTTCTCTGGTCGGGACTGTTTACTCTTACCCAAAGACAACCATAATGGGGATTCACATCCCCATTAAATCAAATCCAATGAATCAAATTCAATGGGCACATTTAATTAACAAAATACAGGAAAATAGTAAAAATGATGCCACAATTTTGCCCCTAACATGGGTAAATTACCTGTTCACAGCTGTGCAGTCCTTCAGTTCTAGCTATCCATTATGTAAACACAAATATTTGGTCATTGCTAGGCATAGTACCAATATGAGAACATGGGCTGCTTGTCATAACTCATGACTGCCAGAACACAGAAGCTTCAAGAGTTTTGTTACTGTTAAACTACCTGAGACAGCAGATATAGCATTCAACTTATTTTATGAGGAGCATTACTGACCTGGTGTTAAAAAATTAACTTTATGCAGCGCCACTCACACATGACATGCTCCGTAAGCATTTATTTTGTGGAAAAAAAAATGAATAAATAAATGAACATAAAGTCAGTGTGTCTCATGTTCATTCCTCACACAGTGTCAGTGTCAAATATTTTACCAATGTTTAGCACGAAACAAGTGGCGGGGTCGGATGATTCAGCCACTTACCTGAAGAGAGTCTGCACGTTCACGATGGTTTTGGCATCTGCCATGTAGTCTTCCTCCGCACTCATGGTGCTCTCTTTGTCCACAACCACCATGTTGGCAGCAAAGGTCACTCCACACCTGAGTAAGTCATCTAGGCTTTGGTAAAAATCAACAGAGAAAAAGGAACATTAAATAAATCACAATGCTACAATCAGTGCTAAAATCTCGCACTAGCCCCTGTGCTTACGTAAGGTGCCTTTAGCGGTGGCTTTTACAGAGTGTGCACAGGTAGCTGAATTATGATACAATACTATCTACTTATAAAAAATAATTTTTATTTTGGGGACTTTACATGTTATCAGATCCCAGCTGTTTCAAAGCATGTGTGTTAAAATATTTTATTTAAAGATTTTTATTGATTATATACATGTAATATGGAATACACCCATTTTGCAATAAAATAGAGCATGTTAGAAATTTGTTTTTACAGTTAACATACTTCTTCAAAGACAGGACATTTACATTTTTTAAAACTTCTAAGGTAATTTTGGTAAGAGAGCATAAGTGCTGTTAATTTAGATGGTCAAGCTTAATGAAAAAAAATAAAACTATAAATGTTTATTTTTAAATGTTTATTATTCCTTTATGTGAGATCTATGTGTTATTGATTGTTCCTACACAATCAAGAGCATGTAAAACATACAAGTATCTGTTGTGTGCAAGCCTACTGTTTAGCCAGCCTAAGTTTTCAAGCAAGCGACTGAATAACCTGATTTCTTTGGCTGGATGAAGTAATTGCTAAAGTTGGAAGCACATACCTGTGGGCTAAAATAGAGTCAGTCTTCTTCCCTATCACTGATTTTAAAAAATCTTACCTATCATTCTCCCAATGAATTAAAAGAAAATGTTTACCGTCAAAACTGAAACAGGGAACCATTATTCTCATTGCCTCTGCTTCATGCAAACTAGAAAAGTAGAACTGAATTGGATAACGGAGACTAAACTTGAATGAGTACAAGAATGTTCTAGGTGCAGAGTTGATTGAAGACAGGTAAGAAAAGATAGGTTAATTGATTTCCGTATCTTCCGATTTAAAAATGGGATGTTTAACGCTTAAAGAGCAGTTAATTTCTCTTAGATTTTTAAATTGAAGAGTGAAGTCCCTGAGGATCTTCTCCAAGTGCATGATTGGATGAGTTAGCCATGGCACGTGAGAGGGAATTATTTTCCTTTATGGGAAGGCGGGAGGCAGGATTTCTTACTCTGTTATTAGGCGAGAGGGTATTACCAAAGCCTTGAGTCCAAGATCCCCAGGAGTAGTCCAGAAAAAATATTTCGCTTGAATCAGGAACAATGGTCTGTGGCAGAGATTTTATGGCTAAAACTGTGGAAACAGAATGTTATTCCAAATAAATTTCCTATGATAAGAGGGGCCAGGACCATAACATCCAACCACTATGATGACTTCAAGTTTAAGTGCCTAGGGATACTTGGGTCTTTCTTTTATTCAGGAAATGTATCATAATGTTTCTTAATTTATTAAAGTACATTAAAAAAGAAAGAGTTAGATGGAAAATGAATATGAGATGGCCCTTTATGGACCATCAAAATGACACTTAAGTCATATGTCTTCAAACCACCTTACTATAATTTCACATCACTTTCTCATATTTCAGCTTTCACAATCTTTTTTCTTCATTAAAAAAAAATCTTCATTATAATTACCTATACATGAAAAGGAAAGTATAGGGCAGTCGAGGATAAGAGTGACTGGGTAAGTATATATGCATAGAAGTGAAGATAGGAAAGATGAATATTTAATCATCAATAATTCAATGACATTGGTGAACCCTTGACCAAAACTTCACTTTAAGACTACCTGTTCTAAAAAGATAAATGTTACATATACCCACATGTATTGGTTAATTCCAGTCTCAAAAATACTAGCTGCTATAGTTTACTCATAACCTTGGCAAATTATCATTAAACGTGAATTTAAATCTATATAGAAAATAGATAAATTTGGAACATTTCTGAACCACGTAGAAGCTTTTTAAATTTTTTGTTTTAAGGTCATATTATTATTTTTCTATTTACTACTTCACTTAATTTTTTATAAGTAGGCTGCCAACTTCTTCCTATAACTCCTGTCCATCATAATTTCTGCAAAGCAACTGCCTTATTTTTTCCTACTATGGTTGCTTTCCACAGCGTGGCCAGCAGATGGCAGCACAAGAAAGTCAATCTAGACGGAAACGTGTTACAGGAATAATTGGCAAAGCCTCCCTAGACTGCCTTTTCCAAGGACTAGCATGTGAAATGTATGAGTGTAAAGAGGTGTTGATGAATGCATTTGAATTCATTCAAAGAGGTATTTTTAAGGAAAAATTTCAAACACAAGCAAAAGAAGAGAATTGTTAGGTGAACATACCTATCACCAGACCAACAATTAACAATTTGTAGCCAATTACGGTTTATTTCTGTCCCTAGGAATTTGATACTCTCAATTCTGTATTCCCTCTCCATAAGTACTTTCATAAAGGAAGAATTCACTTCACAGTTTACATCAGAAAAGGCAGATAGGAGGCTTATTCTTTATCGTTTTTAAGCATACTGTTTTTCCAGTCAATTTTAACAGAACACTATCATTTCAAAACATTTCCAAAAAGATTACTGGTTATAAAACACGTGTAGAATTTAAATGGGAACTTTAGTACATCTAACTACGTTTTGTTTACATGGTTACTATTGTGATAACTGATCGTGTAAATTATATTAATGTAGAATGGAGGCTAAACATATTTTAGACTGGTTGATCTTTATTGTATCCACAGCAGTAAACACTTTCAAAGTTATAAAACTTTTGTTTTCTTCAACATCTACAGAACAAAATGTAAAAGTTAAAGTTCTCAATTGGTCAATTTTAGCATTTATTTTGAAGACTCTAGCTGACATTTTTTAGAAATGAAAAAGTAACATATTATTTCAAGTATGTTAGCTTTTTGATCTTTTATTTATATACATTTTTTAATGTCATGATGATGCATGTATAAGAATTCGTATTTAGTTACTAATGTATTAAACACACATGTCCTTTTAATTAACGAATATTTTAGAAATTATAAATTCTGAAATGTGACTGAACTCTTAACAAACTGCTCCAACTTATAAACCTAAGTTAAAATGAGCATTTCTAAATTATTTTAAAGTTTCCAGAAGTTATCATAAGGTTATCAATACATCACAATATTGCATCTTTAGTTTTCTCTACCACTATGTCAATAGTAATAATATTGTTATAGATGACACAAAACTAAAAATAGCATTAGAAACTGAGCAAAACTGACAAAATTGACATGCAGCAAGATTTGTTTTAATTCAACAATAGATTACTGCTTAGGAAGTGTAATACAAGATGTATAACACGAAAACATAAGCTCTACATGCAAAATATATCATATTTGCAATACTGACATGGCAAATTACACTCATCATGCAGTAACAAGGCACAGCACATGACAAACCACAGGACACTACACTAGTTAGTGTGCCAAAGATTTTGTCACCTACTTGTCAATAGAGCCCACCATGTAGTAAACCATTGGAAACCAACAGATTGCATCCAGAAAATGCATATCTGGCCTAAGTAGTAGATGGGTTACAAAATGAAACACAATGTCACAACAGTGGCAGCACTTCTAAGGAAAGGAAGTAAGTTGACTTAGTTTGCATTTCCAAAACTCAACACTGCTGACAAAATTAATTTTAAGTGCTTTTTTTCTTAACATTAACTAGAAAATGTCATTTGCACTTGTTATGAATCATACAGTGCCCTCAGAATTATAAAAACAAGTTGCATTTCAGCTTTCTAAATCAGAAACATTATGGCATCATTCTACAAAACTACGGAATTTATATTCTTAATTACGACTAAGAAATCTTATAAATAAATTTAAAAGTCATCCATGCAGAGGAAGCCTTGTAAAATAAAAAACTAAGGCTTTTTAGATGATCTAAAGCAGTAGGTACTAACACCTATTAGTGAGCAACTATGAAGCATGCCTATTAAGAACAACATTTTCTAAGGGAGATAAGTATAATCGCAACATACCCTATATAGTACCTCAGTATGTCAAATAAATCTAGTAAATATGCTCATGCAAAATATATATTTTATAAAATTATAGTGAAAGTAATTCATCTTTTAATTTATTGATTGACTCAATATATATTATTAAGGAAACGTGACTGAAATTTTTACTTATATACATATTGGAGGAAAAAACCATAAACTGGAAAGCTTCCTTAGAAATCCCTTAATCTACTGTATTCATTTTACAAAGTTATTAATTCCTTCATGTATCTATTCACTCAGTGTATATGTACCCAAAATTTTTATTTACTAGACATTTTAATACACTCAGGCATATGCAAAAAAACCCGTTAGCATGTTAAGAAACACAGCATTTTAAAAATTCATGTATAAAATCATACAATTCTATTATATATTTTATTCTGTAAAAGCAAACAATATCTTATGCGTAGGAGGCAGAATTGAGGAACATTTCAGAGAGCTGATGTTTAATCTGAATGTTAACGGATTAGTAAGCGTTTATTCAGCATAAAAGGAAAAGAAACTTCCAGGCCAAGAAAACTATAGCACCTACAAGCCTCCCTGGCTAGATAAACTTTTTTTTGCTCTCCCTGACTTATTTCTCTCTTGATGATAAGGTTGATCTTGTTGATCATCCTTCTAGCTCTTTACACTCTGAAGAAAAAGAATGCTCAATGCAGCAAAGCATTTCAGGGAAAAAAAAAAAAAAGAAAAAAAACTCGTAAAGAATACCATTATTTTAACCTTGATTAACTTTCTCCCCATCATTTTCTTTGTAGTCATTACAATGACCCAGTATTATTATATCTTACAAATGTACCACAATTCTTTCTTAAAATCCTCACTTATTTAGTTTATAAGTTATTTTCACTTTTTGCTGTTAAATAGTGCAGTTATCCGTTCTTTGCAGTACCTTGCTATTGTATTTAACACTGGTATTCACATCTTCGGAGGACTTTCTTTCTTTCCTTTTTTTTAAAACATTGATTTTTATCATTACCCCAAAACATTCATAGAAGGGATATTAATGGATCACCATCTA